TACTGAGAATGAGTTTGACCGAACTCATGTTGATAAAATTTTTGTGCATTATACCTACAATATAAAGCTGTGTGTTATGCATATATTATAAAGCCTTTTTTGTTATTACAGGTCATATTCAAAGGTTAAAAGGCAGTACTCCAAGGTAATCCTAGAAGCATCACATTTTGCTTTTTTTAAAATTTTAAAGAGGAAAAACAAAAACTAGAACAAAGAAACAAAGCAATATAAGTCAGCACAAATAGTACAGTTTCAGGAATATTAATGCTGGTTGTTATATTATGTATTATAATCATCAAATTTGTTGCTCAGACTACCAGATATACATATGCAAGATTGATCACAATTAAACATTCACTCTTCCTTTCAATAAACCTGAATTTTTTTCCTTGTCCGTTTTATTCTTTTTTAGTTTATCTTAAAGACAGTATAATAATATCTTATTAAGTACTGAAAGCCTATGAGAGTACAGTAACAATATAAAAAAGGTGATAACAAAACTTGCTAATACTAAGAGATGTCATTCACTCTCTTACCAATTCACTTAAGAAACCATATAGAGTTCTTACCTAGAACCTCCTCATAATCAACAAGCTCAAACCAAACGACAGCTACTGAAGTCCAGACTCCCAGCAAGGCAATGACCATAAACCAGGTGAAAAAGGAGCTGCCTGAGAGTCCTCCTTTCCTTCCATTCTTGTGTCCTCCGTGCTTTGTCTCTGTTTAGAAATAAATGTCAAATGTCATCAACTGAGAAGGAAATGCTGCACTGAACTCCTACCACACTGAACTATTTCTCCAATAATGTCATGGCAGATGGTTTCAAAAGCAGTTTTTACTTAAATTCTAAAAACATGTAACAAAGATTTTGAAACCAGAAAAGTTTCTGCTTAGACCCAATGTCGTGTTCTTAAAACACCAATTTTGAAGTAATGGAAGAAACTGGGTTTGGTAGTAGTGCATGCCTGAAATCCCAGCACTCAGCAGGCTGAGGCAGGATAACCCCAAGTTCCAGGCCAGCCTGGGCTACACAGTGAGCTCAAGGCCAAGCACAGTAAAAGAAAAGAAAAAAGAACAGAACAGAACTAATGCAAGATGAAGGTTAATGATTTTGTTAAAAATTGTATTTACCATAACATACATTCTTTCTAAGGTCATTATCAATCTACTTGCATACAAAGAAAAGCACGATATTGTACCATGTCCCTGTCTTTGACTAGATCCATTGGGTTGGGGCTAGCAGAAACAAGAAAAGGGGCATTCAAGCTGATGTCTCTGAAGGAAACCACTCTGTAAATTGCTGCCCACCACGTCACTGGTCACATCTGATATGTGTAATATATATCTTATGGTTTTTTGGAAATGTACTTCAAATGTCATTTATTTTGAAGGTCAAAAATAAATGACATCTGGGCCAGCCAGATAGCTCAGCGGACTAAAGCACTGCTTAGGCAGAATCAGGGACCCAGGTTTGATCTCTGGCATGC